TCGAACTTGGAGAGCAAGAGATACATTGCCACCCAGCCCACACTCTGTATATACAAGCACAACCAGAACTCTGTAAGCACACGAGAGCCTTAGCAAATCCCTTAAAGACATGCATTCTGCTTTGTTTTTTTGTTTTTGGGTTGCGTAGCAACCCTATAAAATCGGTTTCACATTTCGGAGCATTGATACGAACAGTAAAATTTTTAAGCATTTAGTTAACTGTTCGGTGCAACTCCAAAATATGAATCCAAATGTCCAAAGTGCTCCATCGCGTCGATAAGTACGGCGGATGGAACAATCAGGCCGCATGTCACATTTCAACAAAATTTTATGTATAATTAAACATCCGGTAGGATTGCAAATGCCAAGAAACGAGTGCATGTAGGCATTAGTAGTGTTGCAGTAGAGATTGATGGGGTGCACGATGACAGCAGAGCTGCCCCGGACACGATGACAATCTCTAATTGCAACACCTAGCCTATAAGCAGCACGCTCGAGGCAAACACAATCCAAATACACCTCGTGCCAGCCAACCTATCTCGTCGATAAATACGGTGGATGGAATGAACATGTATGTACGATAGGATTGAGATTGCTACGAAACGATTGCATATATGCATCAATGCTGCAACAGAGATTGATGGGGTGCGCGATGACAACAGAGTTGCCCCAGGCACGATGACAACCTCTAATTGCAACACCTTGCATATAAGCAACACGTCCGAAGCAGACACAATCCACGCCTTATCACATTTGCAGCCACACGCACTATGCACATAGAGACTAAGAGCAGCAGACACACCCCGAAACAAACAGTATTTATCAAACCCATGCACACCCCTCTCATGCAAACAACAATCAAGCAAACACATGCAGCATCGCAAATACCCTAATAGTTGGAATCCCCTATATCCAAATTAAATAACAGTGATAACGTCGTGCAATCACAAATTTGTCCCCGCATGATGTTCCAACAAGCAACAGAAATTGGTGTTGGAAGATGTTCTTTGTCTTGCGGCTGGAACAGACAGCGCGTGCTACACGACCTGCACAGTACACCAGTGAATCATAGAAACACAACATACGTTCAAAAGTTGACCACATAATTTGTTAATTTGTTTATATGCACTCATGGTGTTAGATATTGCGTTTGGGGTTTAAGTTTTAGTGCGGAAGTACAACATGGGATGGAAGGGAGGAAGAGAAAAACAGAAGGGGAGGGATAAAAAGGGCAGTAAGGAGAAAATTACAGACCGAAATTGTGGGGACGCTGGCGATGACCTATGTGGTACCTAGGAATGAATGAAGGGATGGAAAGAGGAGCAGGAGAGGTTAAAAGGAGGGGGACACGCAAAAAAAAGAATATGTGGCATGAGCAAAATGCCATAGCAGACGGCGCCAGCACGCACGTCACCAGCACAGACCGGGCCAGCGCGGGCAGCGCCAGCTCGCACGGCATGGCATGCTATGCCCATACATGCATACAGCCAGGCACGTTATGCACATACACGCATACAACTAGGCATGCTATGCCCATACACACATACAGCCAAGCATGCCATGCCCATACATGCATACAGCCATGCATGCTATGCCCATACATGCATACAACTAGGTATGCTATGCCCATACACACACACAGCCAGGCACGCTATGCACATACACGCATACAACTAGGCATGCTATGCCCATACATGCATACAACTAGGCATGCTATGCCCATACACACATACAGCCTGGCATGTTATCCCCATACACACATACAGCTAGGCATGCCATCCCCATACACACACACAGCCAGGCATGCTATGCCCATATACACATACAGTCAGGCATGCCATGCCCATACACACACAGAGCCAGGCATGCCATGCCCATACACACATACAGCCTGGCATGCTATGCCCATACCTGCATACAGCCAGGCACGTTATGCACATACACGCATACAACTAGGCATGATATGCCCATACACACATACAGCCAAGCATGCCATGCCCATACATGCATACAGCCATGCATGCCATGCCCATACATGCATACAACTAGGTATGCTATGCCCATTCACACATACAGCCAGGCATGCTATGCCCATACACACATACAGCTCGGCATGCCATCCCCATACACGAATACAGCCAGGCACGTTATGCACATACATGCATACAACTAGGCATGCTATGCCCATACACACATACATCCAGGGACGCTATGCCCATACATGCATACAACTAGGTATGCTATGCCCATACACACATACAGCTAGGCATGCTATGCCCATACACACATACAGCCAGGCATGCTATGTCCATACACACACACAGCCAGGCATGCTATGCCCATATACACATACAGCCAGGCATGCTATGCCCATACACACATACAGCCAGGCATGCTATGCCCATACACACATACATCCTGGCATGCTATGCCCATACATGCGTACAGCCAGGCACGTTATGCACATACACGCATACAACTAGGCATGCTATGCCCATACACACATACAGCCAGGCATGCTATGCCCATACACACATACAGCCTGGCATGCTATGCCCATACATGCGTAGAGCCAGGCACGTTATGCACATACACGCATACAACTAGGCATGCTATGCCCATACATGCATACAGCCATGCATGCCATGCCCATACATGCATACAACTAGGTATGCTATGCCCATTCACACATACAGCCCGGCATGCTATGCCCATACACACATACAGCTAGGCATGCCATCCCCATACACGAATACAGCCAGGCACGTTATGCACATACATGCATACAACTAGGCATGCTATGCCCATACACACATACATCCAGGGACGCTATGCCCATACATGCATACAGCCATGCATGCTATGCCCATACATGCATAAAACTAGGTATGCTATGCCCATACACACATACAACTAGGCATGCTATGCCCATACACACATACAGCCTGGCATGCTATCGCCATACACACATACAGCTAGGCATGCCATCCCCATACACACACACAACCAGGCATGCTATGCCCATATACACATACAGTCAGGCATGCCATGCCCATACACACATAGAGCCAGGCATGCCATGCCCATACACACATACAGCCTGGCATGCTATGCCCATACCTGCATACAGCCAGGCACGTTATGCACATACACGCATACAACTAGGCATGCTATGCCCATACACACATACAGCCAAGCATGCCATGCCCATACATGCATACAGCCATGCATGCCATGCCCATACATGCATACAACTAGGTATGCTATGCCCATTCACACATACAGCCAGGCATGCTATGCCCATACAAACATACAGCTAGGCATGCCATCCCCATACACACACAGCCAGGCATGCCATGCCCATACACACATACAGCCTGGCATGCTATGCACATACATGCATACGGCCAAGCACGATATGCACATACACGCATACAACTAGGCATGCTATGCCCATACACACATACAGCCAAGCATGCCATGCCCATACATGCATACAGCCATGCATGCTATGCCCATATACACAAACAGGCAGGCATGCCATGCCCATGCACACACACAGCCAGGCATGCCATGCCCATACACACGCACCAGTCAATGTTGATAAGGTTGCGGCACATCACGTTGCCCACTACTGCTGGGTTGAATGCATTCACCTGAGGGGGTGAGCAGAGACACGGTAGGGACAGGCAGGGTAAGGAAAGGAGGAGGGTGTGGGGCGGAGAAAAGCCAAGCCACAGAATGTCGCACCGAGTCACACTGCTGGCTGCTGCGAGGTTGAAAGCATTGACCTGAGTGGGTGAGGTGAGACGCGGTAGGGGCAGGATCGGGGAAGGAGGGAGGCGTGGGGCGGAGAGAGGAGATATGAGAGAGGAGAGAGGAGAGAGGAGATAGGAGAGAGGAGATAGGAGAGAGGAGATAGGAGAGAGGAGATAGGAGAGAGGAGATAGGAGAGAGGAGATAGGAGAGAGGAGAGAGGATATAGGAGAAAGGAGAGGGGAGAGAGGAGAGAGGAGAGAGGAGATACGAGAGAGGAGATAGGAGAGAGGAGAGAGGAGAGAGGAGAGAACGCACGGCACCTTTCGTTGAGAAGTTCGTTCGGAATGACTCTGACCGTTCTGAACAGTCCCATGTTGGTTGGGAACGGTCTCATGCACAAGCGTTCCCAACCGATTTTCGGAGCTTTTGTAGGAACTTGCTCTCATTTAGCATAATTTGGCTACTCTGAAAACTAGGTGTCCGGACTAGTCCGATTTTTTCAAGGTTCGGAGGAAACAGGAATCAGAGTCATCTTATGATGGAGAGCAACGAACACGAAGGAGGGGTAGCGACAAACAGTATAGGGGAGGGGGGAGCGATGAACAGGAGAGAGGGGGAGTGACGAAAAGTGGAGAAAGGGGGAGTAACGAATTGTAGAGTGGGAGGGAGCGACAAACGGGATAAAGTGGAATGGGAAAGGGAGAGAAAACTAAATGAGGGAGGGAGAAAAGACGGAAGGAGGAAGAGAGAATACGGAAGGAGGGAGAGAAAGGATACGGAACTCGGGAGAGAGAGAATACGGAATGTAGGAAGAGTGGCCATGAGGGAATATGTGGCCGCAGAGAACTGAGGGGGGAAATGCGTACACCTCCATGCCTCTAATTCAAAGAAGCTCGAAACAATTGTCTAAAAATCATAGAATCCTATACACTTGGTTGGATATTTTCAAAAAAAATCAACGAAATTGTCCAGGGCAATTAGAGTTTTTCAATACCGTTGGAAAAATGCAGAGAAATTCTGAAAAACTGGATTAACTCAAAAAGGAAGTCAGAAAATTAAATAATTAGACAAAAAAACTCTGATAATTAGGACCTTGGTTGCAGCTCCTAAAAGGTAAGTCGTGGACTGAGATTCCGAACTCAACTCCTTCTTCCAAAGCTTCATCAGGATCGTTACAGTTTCTCTTGTCCTTGGTACCTCCTTCAAATGAGTGTGGGGAATTAACAGCATGATATACATTTTTGTTTTAGCTGTCACTTCACCTTTCTTAACCACTCCTATAATCGTCGTCGTCGTCATCATCATCATCATCATCATTATCATCATCATCATCATCATCATCATCATCATCATCATCATCATCATCATCATCATCATCATCATCATCATCCTCGTCGTCGTCTTCGTCGTCGTAATCATCACTGTCATCATCGTCCTCCACCACTGGCAGGTCCACTGTAGTTTTGACATAAGCAGCGACAACAACGGTGGCAGGGGGAGCTACACCCTGACAGGTTGACTAGCGGAGGTTGACTGCGCAGCTTTAGTTGGTACGACTAGAGCAGGACATGTAGCTGTGAGAGTATGACCCTGTTATACCTCTTTCTCATTACTATTCTAAATATTAACACCATATCATTCGGTTTATTCGGTTATTTACCCATAAAGCTAGTACTGACCAACGCTATCTAAAGTAATCATTTCGTTATCCCTTATAGCCAATAGCCTCGCATGACTATACGCAGGGTGATTCTAGATATGGGAGTGTCTATTCATTTTGATAAGATAAACATGGTTACTTGATGTACTGTCGAAGTATAAAAGCTCCATCTATCGATCGATAGTGAAATTTATCCTCGACACATTTCGATCGTGTAATAGTAGCAGGGTTATTGCTAGGTTCACTCGGTCGAGTCTCGATCGGATGCTTCCCAAGAGAATAATACAACAACTTGCATGCTGAATCATCTAAGTCATCTCCCTGCGAGCTCCGATGGCGAGCCCACTTGACCATATGAGGCTTCTGATTTGGCATAATGCAATGATGATACCCCCAAAACAGTCCCTTGTTAACTGAAGATACGGGCTTTCCGAGCACTTGAAATATATATGTTTCCTTCTTGCATTAGAACTTCCAATGTCTCCTTGTTGTTGTCACTGTAATCTTGTTTCTGTGCTAACGGTCCCTGTATCCAAGATAAACTGAAAGACTAGAATGAGGCAAACAAGGTGGTACCCTCTAAGAGTACGCACCTATCTAGGCTATACGACATATACACAATATGTTTGACACACCCCCTAGGCTAAATGAGGGGCAGTGCCTGGCAAGAGACACACAGCTCAGGGTGGCACTACTAGTCCAACCTCTCAGGTAGGGGTTCAAAGACCAATCAGCAAGAGTAAAAACTAAACAAGGGCAAGCCATGGCAGTACTACTAGTCCAGCCACTGGAACAAGAGCCACAAGGCTAGTCAAGATAACATAAAAGTAGTACACAATCAAGGACCTAGCAAGTGAGAAGCTACAGCAACTAGACCAAGTTGTACACAATGCCACTTATGATCTTTAGGCGAAAGGGCCTTCTTAAAGACATTAGCTGTGTTGGCACCTGAGGCCAAGTGTACTACGTGTGCCTGGCGACACTGCTGTAGCTTGTGCAAGAGGAAGTTCCGCAGCTGGATGTGCTTCACTCTGCCCTCCAGTCGAGGCTCCTGACACAGAAGAATCATGGCCCTGTTGTCAGCATACATGACCGGGGCAGAGCTAGGCTGCTCACCTAAGTTTGTGAGCAAGAAAGTCAGCCAGTGGAGCTCTTATACCACCATGGCACCCGCGTAGATCTCAGCCTCACAGCTAGACTGGGCAACAGACGACGAACGGGTGGACCGCAACAAGATAGCGCTTGCACCAAGGCTAAAGTAGTAGCCCTGGGAAGACCTAAGTGTCTCAGCCACCTTTGCCCACGAAGCCTCAGTATGCCCTATAAGGACCACTGGACTATGTCCTCCTAGCACTAGCCCCATGCGCAATGTACTTGCTAGATAACGCAAAACCCTCTTAGCGGTCGACCAGTGCTGTGGTCAGTGTCTGCCTGTGGCCACAAAGCGAGCGAGGATGCTAAAAGGGTATGCAAGATCTGGACGAGTGCAAGTCATGAGGTACATCAGGCAAACCACATGCTCTGCGTAAGGACCTCTAGGCTCTACAGACTCCTTGGGGACAGGAGCCGAGAGCCTGTGATCAGATGGCAAAGGTGTTGGCTGTGCGGAGGAGAGCTGAAGACCGAATCTCTAAAGGACCTGGCGCACCAAGTGTGACGGGGTGAGAGTGATCGTGCGCGCTGCTCTGTCCTTGGAAATCTGCAGGCCAAGGTAACAACACAGCTCTCCTAGGACAGTGAAGGTGTGTCTGCGGCTGCGGCGCTGCGACGGACCCATGCGGCTGCGGCTACTGCCGCTTCGGCGACGACGACGGCGGTTGCTGGTAAAAGTTCCAGTCAGAAGCATGAGAAGGCGGGTGGTAAACATTCCAGTCAGACACGTCAAGGGGGAAACCAAGGAAGACATAGGGGACAGTGCAATCCATGAGCTTGTCCGTGCCTGAGGCACAGACGTGAGCGAGATAGCCCCAGACATGGAATGCAAACATGTCACCACGGAACCCGGTCCACAGGAGGGTCAGCAAAACCTGCGGCCGCTAGGAGTGCGGCCACATGTTAAACTGGTGAGCGGAGTAGCGGGGTGCACCGGCATGGATCATGGAATTACGAGCCACCTCCATTACCAAACCGATGCATCGCTCAGCGACCCTATTATGATGCGGGAACTCCGACAGGGTGTACGAGTGGGTGATGCCGTACGCACTACAGAAGTGGCCAAGTCGACCGGAGGTAAACTCGCTGCCACTGTCGGAGTGGAGATGCAGCACAGGGTGGCCGCGATGGACTCGCGCAGCTACGACCCACGAGATAAGAGCGTCAGGCACATCGGCCTTCCGCTCCAGGGGAAACACCATGATGTAGCGCGTGTAGTCGTCGACAAGCACTAGGAAGTAGCGCTCTTGACGCGGCCCGAGGACGAGGGAGGGTCCCAAACGTCCATGTGCATGGTCTGGAGTGTTGCAGTGGTAGGGGGAAGCAAGGAGGAATGAGGAGCATGGCATAGCTGGGCCTCAACGCAAGTCATGCACGGCGGCGCAGGTGAGGGAGGAAGGGCAGGGAGAGACGCTGGCAGACCGAAGACAAGACCGTGTTTGGACATGTGACGCAGACACGGGAGTGTGGGGTGACCTAAGCGGTGGTTACACTGAAGCGATGGGTGAGTGAGTGATCGACACGAGCAAGCCGCAGTGACCTGAGTCGCCGCACACACCTAGGGGGACGCCCCTACTGGGGGGAAGCAGTGTCCAGCGTAAACAAGCCAAACACAGGGTCCTGGGGGAATGTGGTCAGAGGGGCACCAGTGGCGGCCTCGGTACAGACCACATACCGCTCATGTCCGGGGAATGTAGTGGTGACGCCGAGGTCTTGAAAACAGCCGACACCAACTAGGTTCCTGGAGAATGAGGGGATGTGCAGGCCTGTAAGAGAGCCCGGGTGGACCGTCGGACACGGAAGGGTAGTGGAGCTAGGGGCCACGAACGGACCTAAGGAGGGGTCAGCAAGCGCTACAGCGGTGGGGGCAGCAAGTGGCGTGAGCGCAGTGTGGTCGCGAAAGAAGCAAGCGAATGTGCCAGAGTCAAGCGTATAGGAGAGCAACGTAGTAGCGCCAGCCGGCGGAGAGGCAGCCTGACGCAGGGGGTAGCGTGGAACCTAGGCTAAACAAGGCAGGGGTCCTACGCTTGACACAGCAGCGGAGCCTAGACTACACACAAAAGACACACCTACTCTAGGCAACACCGGGTAATAGGGTCCAATCACAATAGATTCATCAGCATACATGACAGACATAGCAGTCCTAATCTGATCCATGTCAAGCTCAATGATAGACACACAGCGGCGAGCCAGGGCGTACCAATCAGGAGGGTCCAACGTGAGACCGAAGCGGTAACGGAAGAGGCCGTCCATCGGCGGTAGCAGCGGGTGGCGGTGTGGCCACAACGGTCGTAGACGGTGCCGTGGTGGGGGCCAGTTTGAAGCTGGTAGTGACAGGTGACCGCACTGGAGCTGCCACCCAACACCGAGTTGTGCCCCCCACCACCACGACCACCGCCACCAGTCCACCATGGCAGTGGGGGTCCCCACGGCGTCTGCTGCTGCTGCGGCTGCTGTTGCGGAGTCTGCGACGGCTGTTGCTGCTGCTCCAGGGCACCAGCCCCGGTCCCCTCATCCGAACCACCATCCGCGCCCCCACCTCCTCCACCCTTCCCACCCCCACCCCCCTTCCCTTCGCCACGCCCCCCCTTGGGGTGGCGGCCCTGACCCGGATGCGGCTGTGCTGAGGCCGCAGCAGCGGTCTCAGCAACAGCGGCACAGATGTTAGAGTAAGAGCACTGGGAGGGAGCAGAGCCCTAAAATATAGGGACCAGCGCAGTTCCGCTAGACTGAGCGATAGTGCACTAGCGGGACTGTATCGCCGATATGGCGGTGATAAAGGTTGGGAGAGTGAGGTCACCTGAGTGCTGACTAACGAAGTGGTCGCAGACAGTGGCTAGGTAGTCAGGGAGGCACGAGGGAATGAGGTAAAGGGTAGCGCAAAGTGGTGGCGGAAAGGTAGTGAGCTGAGCCTCATTGCTAGGTGCGTGGTAGCTATTCTCAAGTGTGCGGAGGTGAGTGGCAAGATCGGTGGCAGTGGGGAAGGACGTAAGATCAGGGAACAGCATGGGAAGGATCAGGTGGCCACCAAAGGCTAAGGCGGGCGTGGAATAGCGCGCAATGCTTGCATCTAAGAATTCTAGGCGTTCACTTCAGTTGTAAAGGGGGGACGCTCGGACAGAGGAAGTGCATGACTTATAGCAAGCTGCGCAGCGGCATCGCGCGACTCCCAGACCGCACGAGCAAGTGCAGCAGTGGAAAAGGCCTCACGCATACCCTCTCATGGTGGGGGCGTCAGGGAGGGAAACAGGCGCAGCAAGACGGGGAAGCAGGCCATCGACATGAACAGCTAGGGAGTGACCGTCCTGGCGCTGACCTGAAAGGTGACGGCGAAGGTCGACGAGCCATGCCTCGAGTCGATCGCCCACCCCTCCGAGTCCAGGCGGAGCACAGCGTCCACCATCCCACGAGTTCAGCTATACGATGGCGCAGCGGCACGATGACACGGCGATACGGCGGCACGGCTACACGGCGTCACTGCGACAGAGCGGCATGGCAGAGCGGCGGCACTGCGGCACGACGGCATGGCGCCACGGCGGCGCGGCTCCACGGCGGCACAGCAGCACAGCGGTACAGCGGCACGGCGACACGGCGGTACTGCGGCACAGCGGCACGACGGCACGGCGACATGGGACAGCGGGGCAGGGCCAGCGGGTGCAGACCTGGCGAGCGCAAGAGAAAGAGGACAGAGACTGGCAAAATCGGGGCCAGCAGGCGCGGGGCAAGCGGATGCAGGGCCGGCAGGCGCAGGGCCAGCAATCGCGGGCTGGCGAGCGCGGGGCCGACGGGCACAGGGCTGGCGGGCGCGGAGCTGGCAAACGCGGGGCCAGTGGGCCCGGGGTAGGCGAGCACAGGGCTGGCGGGCATGGGACTGGCGGGCGCGGGGTAGGCGAGCGCAGGGCCGATGGGCACTGGGCTGGCGGGCGCGGGGCTAGCGAGTGCGGGGCCAGCAGGTGACGGGGCCGCGGGGCCGTGGGGCCGCAGGGACGCAGGGCCGTGGGGCCGCGGGGCCGAAGCAATGACAAAACAAGTCGTCTAGGCGACGAAAGCAACGTGCAGGGGTATGGCCGATCTTACCGCACACGAGGCTGTGGCGAGGACTAGTCTGGAGCTGGTACTGGCAGTGCCCGTCACAATGACTATCACCCGACGACACGCCGCTCGATTGACCACTGCGATCACCGTCACCTCCAGCTACAGACCACCCAGGCGGGATACGGCCGACCCTGCGCTGCTGCTGCTGCTGCTGCTTCTAGCCCAGCTGCAGACGATGCTGAGCATGTTGCTGCTGGGGCTGCTGCTCCAGGGCACCAGTCCCAACCCCCTCATCAATACTACCAATGGGCGAGTCACCTCCACCACCAGCACCACCCCCTCCTCCGCTACCTCTGCCGCACCCAGCCTTGGGGCGGCGACCCTTACCCAGACAAAACTGCACTGCGGCGGCTGTCTCCACAGCTGAAGCTGTCTCAGCAACCGCAGCAGAACCGTCGAAAGAAGAGCATTGAGCAGAAGCACAACCCTGAAAGATAAAGACTGGCACGGTACCGCTAGACTGGGCGATAGAGCGCTGACGGGTCTCTATGGCAGACAGGTTGTCGACAAAGTTAGTGAGGGTGAGGTTAGCGGGGTGGAGACTAAGGAAGTGATCGCGGGCGGTGGCAAGGTGGTCAGGGAGGCGGGTGGCAAGCAGGTAGAGGGTAGAGCAGATGGGGGGGTGAAACACATGAAGCTGAGCCTTAGTGCAGGCAACACGCCAGGTCATGCCTAGCGTGCGCAGGTGGGCGGCTAGGTCAGCGAGAGTGGGGAAAGACGCAAGGTCAGGAAATAGCATGGGCAGGATCAAGCGACCTATAGAGGCAAAGGGCGGGATGGAATAGTGCGCAACAACAACCTCTACGAACTCCTCCACAGTCCTGACGGACCTAAAGCGGGGGCGCTCGGACAGGGGAAGGGCATGACTAATCGCAAGCTGTACGACAGCGTCACGCGACAACCAGACAGCATGGGCAAGGCAGCAGCTCCAGCGGACTCACGATCAGCAGAGGTGGGGTCAGCTGGGAGGGCAGCATGGGGGTCTGGACAGGGGAGCGTACCGTCAATTTGGACGGCCAGGGAGTGGCCGTCTTGCCGCTAACCAGTCAGGTGTCGCTGGAGGTCAACAAGCCACAAGTCGAACTCAATCGGCAGCCCCTCAGCATCGAAACGAAGGACCGAGTCTGCCATCATACTTGGAGCAGCAGGAGAAAGACAATACTGGGAAGGAGAGCGCGGCGGACAGCGGTGATGTGCGGTACTGTGCGGTGGAGGGAGGTGCAGTACGGTAGGGTGCAATACAGTGCGGTGCAGGATGGTGCAGTGCGGTGCAGTTTGGTGCAGTGCGGTGCCGTGCGGTGCCGTACGGTGCAGTGCGGTGCAGAGCGGTGCCGGGCGGTGCAGCTCGGAGCAGAGGGGCCAAGGATGGCAGCGAGGCATCTAGAAGATGGGGCCGCTGGCGGCAAGGCGACGAGGCCGGCAACGAGACGTGGCCGGCAGGGAGACGGAGCCAGCTCAGAGGTGGGGCCGGCTTGGGGGGGGGGGGGGGGGGGGCGGCGAGCTGACGCGGCTGCGGGGCCGCGAGGTGTCAGGGCCGCGGGGCCGAGAGGTGACGGGGCCGCAGGGCCGCTAGGGGACGGGGCCGCGGGGCCGATGGGTGACGGGGCCGCCGGGCCGCTGGGTGACACAGCCGCGGGGCCGCTGGGGGACGGGGTCGCGGGGCCGCTAGGTGACGGGGCCGCGGGGCCGCTAGGGGACGGGGCCGCGGGGCCATTAGGGGGCGGCTAGGACCTAGGGCGGAAGTGCTAGGGGTGGGGAAGGGGGGGGGAAGGGGGGGGGGGGGACCTGCCTTCTCATGATACCATGTTCAAGTGAAAGAATGTTGAGAACAAGGCATACAAGGAAATATAACCTAATGGGTTGTACTAACCTAATTTCAGCTTCACGACGAAGATGCTGGCGACAACTTTGGACGGCTGCGATATGCTGCTGGGACGCGATTGGCTGCGCGAATACAACCCGAGCATCGACTGGTGGACGGGTGACTGTCGCATCAAATGGAGTGGCGAATGGCGACGACTTCCCAAGTGGAGCTGTCAGGATTCGACGACATCGACGGTCAGTGCAGTTACAATCAAGCGAGCTATGATTCGCGGGGCGCAGCTGTACGCTGTCCGATGGATCGCATCAATGGCTGTCGACACGCCAGCCAACATGGATAAGCTTTGCGCAGCTGTCCCGAACAATTTGGCGAACGTCATTCGCAGGCACGCCGACATTTTTCCAGACGATCTACCGGCGGGTTTGCCACCTGAGCGAGACCACGACCACAAAATCGACGCGCACAAATTGGAGCCCGGCGCGCAACCGACTGTTTGAACTCAATGGAGGCTGACTCAGCCAGAGCTCGATGAACTTCGAGGCCAGCTGGATTACCTGCTCGAGAAAGGTTTCGTTCGCCCCAGCACTTCCCCGTTTGCAGCCCCAATCCTGTTCACCCCGAAGAAAGATGGCGGTCTACGAATGTGTATTGACTACCGTGCCTTGAATCGGGTTACCATCAAGTCCCGCTACCCTATCCCGCGTGCTGACGAACTCATCGACCAACTTCGTGGAGCCAAGTTCTTTTCGAAAATTGACGTGCAATACGGTTACCACCAGATACGCGTGCACAAAGCTGACTGCTACGAGACGGGGTTTCGAACCCGGTACGGGAGTTATGAGTACACTGTTATGCCTTTTGGCTTAACAAATGCGCCTTCGACGTTCGAGTTGACCATGAACGAAGTTTTTCGGCCGCTGCTGGATAAATGCGTCATCGTATACCTCGACGACATCCTGATCTATAGCACTACCCATGAACAACATTTAAAGGATTTGGAAGCAATCTTCTCTCTCCTGCAGCAGCACCGGCTCATCACCAACGGCTCTAAGTGCGAGTTTCTAAAAAAAGAGCTGGAGTTTTTGGGACACGTTATTTCCATCGACGGCGTTAAAATCGACCCCAAGAAGATCGCGACAATACAAGACTGGAAGCCGCCGGCTAATCTCCATGAACTTCAAAGTTTCCTAGGGTTTGTGAATTACGTTTGCCGGTTCATCCCGAACATGGCGGGGGTAACTTTTTTAATGAATCTCCTGAAGAAAGGCAAGTTTTATGAGTGGGGGGGAGAGCAGCAGGCTGCGTTCGAACAGCTCAAACTTTTCCTGACTACACCTCCGGTTCTTTGAATTGCAGATCCTCACCGTCCGTTCGAGCTCATCACCGACGCTAGCGACCTGGCTGTTGGCGCAGTACTGTTACAATACTTCGGCGAAGGCCTTCAACCCATCGCCTACGAGTCACGAAAGTTGAATCCGCCCGAGCAAAATCATCATGTCCACGACAAAGAGTTACTCGCCATCGTTCACGCTTTCAAGGTCTGGCGCTGCTACCTGACGGGCGGTGACATGACAATCCGAACAAACCACAAATCGCTAAAGTTCATCCGTGCCCAACCGACACTAAATCCCCGACCGATTCGTTGGCTCGATTACCTCGAGTCAAACTTCCACTACAGAGTCACCTACAAACGGGGGGTTAGCAACATCGCCGACGCACTGACCCGCCCTTCAGTCCACACCGCCGCAGTAATGATTACCCAAGCTAATCCGCTGCTAACTGGTCTATTCACCCACGGATACAGTATCGACCCATTCTTCACCACTAACAGTCATCCCCAACTAGCGGTAAAGCAGGGGGCCTATTATCTAAAATCCGGTACCAATCAGATTTGGGTTCCCGCCTACCGTACCCTATGCGAGCAAATGATACAGGAGGCACACGACTCGAATTTCTCGGGTCACTACGGCATCGATAAAACTGCCAAATCACTATGCCGTAATTATTACTGGCCCGACTTGCCAACAGACGTGCAGCAGTACGTCACCTCCTGCGCCACGTGTCAACGCATGAAATCTTCATGGCTTCGACCTGCGGGATTGCTGCACCCGCTCGAGCCACCCAGCCGACCCTGGCAACAAGTGACGATGGATTTCGTCACTGGCCTGCCAGCGGGTTCAAGCGGTAACGACGCGATTCTCGTCGTCGTTGACCGGTTGACCAAGATGGCCCACTTCGCCGCCTGCAAGACGAAAATTACTGCCGAGCAGACAACGAAACTGTTCCTCACGAACATTGTGCGGCTACACGGCATTCCTTCCGCAATCAGCAGCGATCGTGACCCACGGTTCACGTCCAACTTCTTGACAAAAACCTGGCAGCAGTACGGCACGCGTCTGCATCTGTCCACGGCGTACCACCCACAATCGGACGGCCAGACTGAGCGCACCAATCAGACGATGGAGCAGCTGATTCGCACAACATGCACAGACCCGGCCCAATGGGAAGACTCCCTTCCCTTGATTGAGTTTGCGTACAACAACGCCCCATCAGCCACGGCTACTCAGTCCCGTTCTTCCTTAATAACGGGATAGACCTGACAACCCTTCTATCACCACCGATAGAAAATCCGGCACCAAGGTCGCAGCAGTTCGTCGAAAATCTCTGACAGTCTCAACAAAAAGACGCCGATGCCATCCTCAAAGCCAACCAACGGGCTAAGCAGGAAGCTGACCGACGACGCCGTGACTTAACACTCGTCCCTGGGCAATTGGTCCTGCTCGACACCAAAAATTTGGGAATTTCCCTCCCAAATAAACTACGACGAATATTTTGCGGCCCATTCCGCATCATCCGCATTGTGACACCAGTCACCGCCCAGCTGCAACTACCGGTCGACTGGCGAATTCATGATTCATTCCATGTCAGCCTCCTGCGACCATTCGTCCCGAGTACGACTGATCTCGACCGTCAACACATCAATCATACGGTCAACCCAGTATATGAGCCATCGAAGATTCTCGCTCATCGCGTACGAGGCCATCGAGATACGGCAGCTGTTGATTTCCTTGTACGATGGGTCGATCGCACGACTGACGACGATCTTTGGGTCCCCGCAGCTATGTTCGGCGAACACAAAGTCGCCGGGACTATTTACACCGACGACGTGTCCCGGATGTGGGTAGTCTCATCCCGGAAGAGGGGGTGGTGTAAGGAAATTCCCTTTTCCTTACTGGGCTCGACTACAGCGCGTACACCCTCGACTCTCGGAAGTCTAGGCTCAGTCAACTTCTTCGGTCCTAAACCACTTTGCGAACCCAAATATCGACGCGCAGCGCTTCCGTGGCCTTTGCCAACCGAATCGCCCCAAACTGTTCGCGTGGTTCTCGGCTAGCTCTGTTCGTGCCTAAAAATGCCTAGGCCCTCATTTGTATCGACACTCTTGAATCACGACTCCTTTATTTCACTACATGTTATTACTCTCATTAATTCATAACAATATTCCTCATGCTTACATTACGCAATTTTTTTATGCAGGGTTGTGAGAAATGGGCCTGGCTCGAGGTGAAAGCTCTTCGATGCTTCTTCAGTTCACGGTTGAGTCATTCTGTATTGGACATCCGTCAGCAGTATCAGTCGTGTAAATGACGTGGACTGCCCCGTCCGTAAGGTCATTTACACTTCAAAGGTCTGCGATTCGAGGCAAAGGATGGTGACTACAAACAACCACAATCAAAGGTGGTTGTATGTCCGATGGTAACAGTGTTTTCCTTATTCTCCCCAGCTAATTCTGCATACAGTGTTTCAGCTTAGTCCTCTCTGGGCATCTAAAAAACCGTCGAACGTTTTGGGCAGCATGAGCTAGGTTGGTGATTATCACACCAAGCGGATGACGTGTGTGCAACCAAATCACCGCCACCAGTCTGGAACTCTGCTGAATCCATCCCGAGCCGCGCGCCACCTGCTCTCCTCACCTGTGGAAAGCAATCCACATCGGAGAATAAATCGCTGCCCGCGCTCCTCCATTTCCATCGCATTTCGTTCAGTGTCGCCAGCACACGACACGACGCGAGTCCCCCAAGTCCATTCAGCCTTCTCACTCGCCCCGCTCGCTGCTCTCGAGTGTTCACTCTCCCACACTCCGCCGCCACCTCCTTTCGTCTTCCTACCAGCAGCCATGGGTTTCGAGGGCGAGGCTCGCGTAGTCGTCGAGAAGGAGACCATAGCCGATCCCGCTCCTCTGGGGCTTGCGGCTTTCGCGCTCACCACCTACGTGCTCTGCGCACACAATGCAGGTAAGCTCGCCTCTCAACAGCACCCAATTCCGCCTTCTCTTCCTTCCTCTTCGCACTTCGACGGACTTCTTCTTGTCCCTCACGCCGCAATTGAGCTAATTGTCGATCTCGGACTAGAACATTCGCCCATTACCTTACTGGCGCCGTGCTGCTCTGCCATCGTCGCGTTGCCCGGTGCAGGGTGGGCGCCCGACGTGATCTGGGTGGGGCTGGCGTTCTTCTATGGCGGGCTGGCGCAGCTGCTGGCGGGCATGTGGGAGTTCAAGAAGAACAACACGTTCGGCGCCACGGCCTTCTCGACGTACGGCGCCTTCTGGATGGGCCTCGGCTTCTTCGTGCTGCTCAAGATCCTCGGCTATGTAAGCTCACCTGCTGCTTCCAACGACCTCATCCCTTCCCAATTCGCTCATTTTCGCCAAACTACTCCGGTTTTTTGTTCTCCAAGATCCTCGGCTATGTAAGCGCACCTGTTCCCAACTTCTCACCCCTTCCCAATGCTCTCATATGCGGCGAATTGCTTCGTGTTTTTTTTCTTCTTTTCTTGCCTCGTTTCTCACCGGTTGCGCGCTCCTTCTGTCCGCCTGCCGTTTCCCCCTTCGCGGCGGTACCAGGTGAAGCTTGAGCCTTCGGACATCTCGGAGGCGCTGGGGTGGTTCCTGTCGGGCTTCTTCATCTTCAACAGCTACATGACCATCTGCGCGCTCATGGCGTCGCAGGCCGTGCTGCTCGTCTTCGTCCTGCTCGAGCTCACGCTGCTCTGCCTCTTCATCGGCAACTTCAAGGGCCAGAAGGCGGGCGACAGCGGCTCCTGGGTCACCGCGGGCGGCTACCTCGGCATCCTCACCGCCGCCGCAGGTACGCCACGTTGCGGGAATTGGACCCCGCGGCCTCGCGATTAGCGCTAGTACGTTCAACCCGTGCCTTAGCGAAACAGAATCGGAGAATTGGGCACAAGAACACATCCGTTACAAATTGACGCAATCATCATGGTCATTTACAAAACATTAAGCCTTTTGCTGTCCGCGCGTTCTGTCTCCGTTCTCTTCCGTCCCTCGCAGCGTGGTACGCGTCGGGCGCGGGTTGCTTCAACGCCATGGCGCGTCGCAACGTGCTGTACACGGGCAAGCCGCTGCTCTCCTTCCGCAGCCCCGCCACCCGCGACGACGCCAACGCCGCCGAGCCCTAGGCGCCGCGTCCACCCGTGTTGAACACCCACTCGGGGTGCCGCCACTTGATTTGCTGCTCCTTGGTCAATCGCTTGCCGTGCGTTGATGGGGCTTCAGCTGCTGCTGGCTGCTGTGGTGACTAGCGCTTGCGATGAGGTCGCTCGTGGGTAGGGGAATAAGGCAGCAGGCGCCGACGGAAGGCCCGCAGGTCGAATCAAGGCCCTGCTTTGGCGATCAGCGGATTGCTGACGAAGGAAGTTTCGGGAGGGAGTGTGTGCTTCTGCTTGCTGCTGCCTTAAATGCCCTCTGTAAATTCTGGTTTGTGAAATTATTGTTTTTGTGTGCTCAGTTAAAATTATTGTTTCAAATTTCGGTTTCTGCTGTGACATGCAGCACCTGGCAGGAGGTGGAACACAGTAACATGCAGGAGAGCCGTGCTAGACTAGAGCCTTCCTTCTGGTCTGTGAGCACTGACCAGCAGAGAAACGATAGACGCATGGGCCTTCCTGCTCTGCTCTGTGGTTGGGGAGAAGAGTGGGCAGCGGACGGAATTGCAATGGAACTGGCTTTTCTGCTTTGGCTGTACGGTGGAGTGAGGCGGAGGCGGAGGGAGTTGTGTTGCTGCCAGGAGCTTACAGGGCTAGTTCTAGAGAAGCAGCAGGAGGAGCGGGAAGGATGATTGGAAATCGGATTGACAGAGGAGTGGGGGGAGAGGGATGGACGAGGGACAGAAGGAGATAAAAAATAGCGGCAAGGGTGAAAGGAGAAGGGGTGGAAATGGAGAGAAGGGAGAGGGTTCTGGGAGCAAGGAAGGAAGGTTAAGGTAGTGATCTGTAGGATTAAGAGAAAGAGAGGTGAGGAGGAGAGCAGAGGAGGGTGTTGGGGGGGGGGGGGGTGGAGGGTTCAAAAGAGGGGCGAGGAAGACAAATGTCGGGGGGAGAGAGTGGCCGCTCGCCCTAAATCATGGTGCTGCTGCTTGATCGGCTGCTCCTTACTAGGTCAATGGACTGCCGTGCGTTCATCTCAAAAAAGAAGGGGGGGTTTTCCGTCATTTAAGACTGGAATTGGGGGGGAAATGGGCATTTTATAGGCGTGAATGACCTGGTCATAAACGACCTAGGCTGTAGGCATTTAGGGGTCATAAACGACCGGAGCCTTTTATATCTGTTCACGGGCTCAACCTGGGCATAAACGCCGTTTGGTTTGGTGGGCTAAATGGTCATCTATGGAGGAAAGGCCAATGTAAACGAGCCTGTAATAATTGGTCTTGTCAAACATGTTTAGTTATCATGCTTGTATAGACTGTATAGGGTCATCTTCTAGAGAGTACAACAGTTAGGTATATGTTTGTGTACTCTCTCTCTCTATTCATTAAATTTTACTGTTTGATATGGTATCACGCGTAGGTAGGATCCCCCCCCCCCTCACACTTCCGCTCGCCCCCTAGCTGGGCCCCGTCGTGCTCCTAGCCCCGTCGTGCCCCTTCCTGGGCCCCGTTGCGCCCCTTTCTGGGCCCCGTAGCGCCCCTCCAGGGCCCCGTCGCGCTCCTCCCAGGCCTCGTAGCGCCCCTCCTGGGCCCCATTGCGCTCCTCCCAGGCCCCGTCGCGCCCCTTCCAGGGCCTCGAAGCGCCCCTCCAGGCCCCGTCGCGCCCCTCCCCAGCCCCGTCGCGCCCCTCCCAAGCCCCGTCGCGCCCCTCCCAGGCCCCCCCTCGCGCCCCTACCAGGGCCCGTAGCGCCCCTCCTGGGCTCGTAGCGCCCCTCCTGGGCCCGTAGCGCCCCTCCTGGGCCCGTAGCTACCCTCCTGGGCCCCGTCGAGCCCCTCCTAGGCCCCGTCGCCCCTGCTCGGCCCCGTCGCCCCTGCTCGGCCCCGTCGCCCCTGCTCGGCCCCGTCGCGGCCTCTCGGCCACGTGGCGCCCGCCCGGCCCCTGTCGCGGCTGCCCGGCCCCTGTCGCCCTGCCCGGCCCCTGCTCGCCCGCCCGGCCCCGTCGCCCCTGCCCGGCCCTGCTGTGTCCTGCCCGGGCCCCGTCCCTGCCACCCGACCTTGTCGCTGCCGCCCGGCCCCGTCGCAGCCGCCCGGCCCCGTCGCAGCCGCCCGGCCACGTCGCAGCCGCCCGGCCTTGTCGCTGCCGCCCGGCCCCGTCGCCGCCGCCCGGCCCCGTCGCAGCCGCCCGGCCCCGTCGCCGCCGCCCGGCCTTGTCGTGCCTGCCCGGCCCCGGCGCACCTGCCCCGGCCCTCCATACTTCCTGGTACTGTCCCCCGTTCACCCCACCACTTTGCACCCTCCTGCACTTTCCTGCCCCGCCTTGCATCGCATTGCACCTCACTGGATCGCACTGACCGCACTGCACCGCACTGGACCGCACTGCACCGCACTGCATCGCACTGCACCGCACTGGACCGCACTGCACCGCACTGCATCGCACTGCACCGCACTGCACTGTCCTCCACTGCCCCTCATGGCTGCTGAGCTTCGTTTTGATGTTGAGGGTCAGCCTCCTGGAGGACCGCCAGTTTGAGCTTGCTTTCCTGTCCGAGGCTGCTCCCCATCTCTGTTCCATGCTGCTAGTCCCTGAGGGTGACCCAGACGCTTTCGACATCCCGACCCCTCGTACTTACGCTGAGGCGGTTTCGGGACCCTGGGCCTCTCAGTGGATAGCTGCCATGGAGCAGGAGATGGCATCTTGGAGATCCACCGGCACCTTTGTCGACGCAGTTCCCCCACCTGGGGTGAACGTGGTCGATGGCCGTTGGCTCTTCAAGGTGAAGCGCCCTCCTGGAGAGCCGCCTGTGTTCAAGGCGCGCTACGTGGCTAGAGGCTTCAGTCAGCGCGAGGGGGTGGACTTCTTTCAGACTTTTGCTCCTACCCCGAAGATGACTACTCTTCGGGTGCTGCTACACGTAGCGGCTCAGCGTGACTACGAGCTTCACTCCCTCGACTTCTCCACTGCCTTTCTTCAGGGCAGCCTTCACGAGCAGGTCTACCTGCGTCGCCCTCAGGGCTTTACTTGTCGCTGCCGCCCGGCCCCGTCGCAGCCGCCCGGCCCCGTCGCAGCCGCCCGGCCACGTCGCAGCCGCCCGGCCTTGTCGCTGCCGCCCGGCCCCGTCGCCGCCGCCCGGCCCCGTCGCAGCCGCCCGGCCCCGTCGCCGCCGCCCGGCCTTGTCGTGCCTGCCCGGCCCCGGCGCACCTGCCCCGGCCCTCCATACTTCCTGGTACTGTCCCCCGTTCACCCCACCACTTTGCACCCTCCTGCACTTTCCTGCCCCGCCTTGCATCGCATTGCACCTCACTGGATCGCACTGACCGCACTGCACCGCACTGGACCGCACTGCACCGCACTGCATCGCACTGCACCGCACTGGACCGCACTGCACCGCACTGCATCGCACTGCACCGCACTGCACTGTCCTCCACTGCCCCTCATGGCTGCTGAGCTTCGTTTTGATGTTGAGGGTCAGCCTCCTGGAGGACCGCCAGTTTGAGCTTGCTTTCCTGTCCGAGGCTGCTCCCCATCTCTGTTCCATGCTGCTAGTCCCTGAGGGTGACCCAGACGCTTTCGACATCCCGACCCCTCGTACTTACGCTGAGGCGGTTTCGGGACCCTGGGCCTCTCAGTGGATAGCTGCCATGGAGCAGGAGATGGCATCTTGGAGATCCACCGGCACCTTTGTCGACGCAGTTCCCCCACCTGGGGTGAACGTGGTCGATGGCCGTTGGCTCTTCAAGGTGAAGCGCCCTCCTGGAGAGCCGCCTGTGTTCAAGGCGCGCTACGTGGCTAGAGGCTTCAGTCAGCGCGAGGGGGTGGACTTCTTTCAGACTTTTGCTCCTACCCCGAAGATGACTACTCTTCGGGTGCTGCTACACGTAGCGGCTCAGCGTGACTACGAGCTTCACTCCCTCGACTTCTCCACTGCCTTTCTTCAGGGCAGCCTTCACGAGCAGGTCTACCTGCGTCGCCCTCAGGGCTTTACTGGCACCTTCCCCCCTGGGACCCAGTGGCTTCTGCGGCGGCCAGTCTACGGCCTGCGCCAGGCGCCTCGTGAGTGGCACGACACTTTGCGTGCTACCCTTGCTGACCTGCAGTTCTTTCCGTCCTCTGCAGACCCCTCGCTCTTCGTTCGTGCTGGCTCGACTCCGTTCTACATCCTCGTCTACGTAGACGACCTGGTCTTTGCCACTGCTGACAGGGACGCGCTGGCCTCCGTGAAGGCAGAGCTGCTGAAGAGACACACCTGCACTGACCTTGGAGAGCTGCGCCGTTACCTTGGCTTGCAGATCTCCAGGGACAGAGCTTCGCGCACCATCACCCTGACTCAGTCACACTTGGTGCGCCAGGTCCTTCAGAGGTTCGGCCTTCAGTTCTCCTCTGCACAGCCCACCCCTCTTCCTCTGGACCACAGACTCTCCGCTCCAGTTCCTGAGGAGTCGGTAGATCCCAGTGGTCCTTACGCTGAGCTAGTGGGTTGCCTCATGTACCTGATGACTTGCACTCGCCCAGATCTCGCATACCCTCTCAGCATCCTGGCTCGTTTCGTGGCCACAGGCAGGCACCGACCTCAGCACTGGTCTGCCGCTAAGAGGGTTTTGCGTTATCTTGCAAGTACATCGGGCATGGGGTTAGTGCTAGGCGGACGCAGGCCAGTGGTCCTTACTGGACACACAGACGCTTCTTGGGCAGACGACGCCGAGACGCTCAGGTCTTCCCAGGGCTACTGCTTTAGCCTTGGTTCAGGTGCTGTCTCGTGGAGAGCTACCCGCTCTTCGTCTGTTGCCCAGTCCAGCTGTGAGGCCGAGATCTACGCTGGTGCCATGGCGGCACAGGAGCTCCGCTGGCTGACCTTCTTGCTCACTGACTTAGGTGAGCGGCCTAGCTCTGCCCCGGTCCTGTACGCTGACAACAGGGCCATGATCCTCCTGTGTCAGGAGCCTCGACTCGAGGGCAGAGCGAAGCACATCCAGCTGCGGTACTTCCTCCTGCGTGAGCTACAGCAGCGTCGCCAGGCTCGCGTAGTACACTTAGCCTCCGGTGCCAACACAGCTGATATCTTTACGAAGGCGCTTGCGCCTAAAGATCATCAGCGGCACTGTGTGCAGCTTGGTCTGGTACCTGTAGTCTCTCACTTACTCGGGCCTTGACTCTGTACTGTCCTATATATCTGTGTGTACCCTCAGACTGGACTTGTGTCCTCTTACAGTGGTTGGACTAGTAGTGCCGCCCTGTACTAGTTCTTGCCTTGCCTGTACTCCTTCTGACTGGTCTTTTAGACCCTTGTCTCAGAGGCTGGACTAGTAGTGCCACCCTGAGCTGCTTGTCTAGAACATTCCCCTATGCAGTCCAGGGGGTGTGTCAAACATGTTTAGTTATCA